AGTGAGTTCTAGGTCAGTCTCAACTACATAGTGAGACCCTGTCTCAAAAAACAAAAACAAAAAAACACACACAAAAAAGAAAATATAGCATAAACCTAAAACAGTTGAGCAGATCTGAACCCAAACATCAGTAACTATAAAAAAAAATTTAGGCTAGGGATTTAGCTCAGTGGTGCCCCCCCCTGCCCCACAAGCACAAGGTCCTGAGTTCAATCCCTGGTCTTTAAAAAAAAAAAAAAAAATCACTGCACTTTCAAGAAAACCAGGGAAATATCCAAGTACTCACTCATACCCCATCCCAAAAATGAGATAAGAAGAACATTATAGCATCTGAATGGCAACTGTAAGCAAGCACAAAAGCCAGAGCAAACATGGAACAAATGTCCATGTAAGTTGGGATTTTGAACATAAGTATGGAGTCTGTTTTGAGGTGCTGATCTGGGCCTGAGATTCCTAACATAAGCTGGGGGTCCCTAAAGGAAGGTACAAGGCTCCCATGAAGGCACACCTCCAGGCAGAAACAGGTTAGATTCTCTCAGAAGGAAAGTGACTCAGTTGAGGCCTATCCAGTGTCAGAAGATATGAATTAGTAATTGAAAATTGGACAGAGTGGGAGAAAATATACCACCTGCCTGAGAGTGAACAAACAACAAATAGTATAGTTAGACTCTAAGGACTTCCTATTCAGGAGTTATCAAGTAGATTGTAGATAATGCTAAGATACCACTTTAAAAATGAGCAAGAAACAAGCTATTGTTTAAAAATGACTGGGCAGTTTTGAAAGGGATCTGATAAAATTAGTAGAAATAAAAAATATAGTTGTTAAAAAATCAATGGGTAAGTTAAGCAACTGTTTTTTGTTTTTGTTTGTTTGTTTGTTTGTTTTGGGGGGTACCAGGGATTGAACTCAGGTCCTTACGCTTGCAAGGCAGTCCACCGAACCACTGAGCTAAATCCCCGGCCCAGCAACTGTTTATTAATGGGCACATTGTTAGTGTTTTGATATGACTCCTTAATGTGGTACACTGACCCATCAATTATGAGTTAGCATCTTTACAGAGAGGGCCATGCACTTCACGGGGTAAAAGTAGACTAAAATATAATCCTGGAAATGGGTTAACCATGTAGAAAAAGTGATAATGAATTCTGAACTCTCATCATACTAAAATATTAGTCCCTCATGAATTAAAGATAAGAGGAAAAGGTAAAAATTTTCAAGTTTTGGAAGTAGATACAGAATATCTTTATGATCTGTAGTAGAATAAGTTATACAGAACACAAATAATACTGGCTATAAAAGCAAAGATGAGAAACTAGAATACATTCCAGTTAAGGACTTGTCTTCACCAAAAAACATAATAAGGAAAGTGAAAAGACCAGTCATCCACTGAAAGAGTAGATTTTCCAATATAACAATGAATTAATTACCAGAACATGTAATGGAATTCTACAGATTTATAAGAAAAAAATTAATAAAGAATGGTAGTTACTGCTATTTCACAACAACCAAAATACAAGTGTGCGATAAATACATGAAAAGAAAATCACAGTAGTTGTAGTGAAATACAAATTAATGTCATATTGAAGCAGAGTTCTATACCCATTATATTTACACAGTTAAGTTTGCCAGTAAGGGTGCTAGTGAGGAAGTGGCTCATTAGAAATGTTTATGTTGCTGGTGGGACTGAAAATTTTAAAACCACTTTGAAAAATAAATTGACATTACTTTGTGAAATTGAACATGCATAGGTATATACCTATAACCCAGCACTTCAGCTTCTAAGTATATATCCTAGATAATCCTTGCATTTTATGTAAGAGAGAGAAACAAAAATTGATTGAAATGTTATTCTTAAAAGCAAAAACTGGAAATGACACAAATGTTTATCTAAAAATATAGTGTATTTCCACAGTAAACTACTACATAGCAGTAAATAAACTATAGTTACATTCTTTAAAGGGATGAATCTGGGGGAGTAAGGTTCATTTTTTAATTTGTTTTTTTGTTTGTTTCTTTTTCTTTCTTTTTTTCTTTTTGAGTTAAGGTCTCCCTAAGTAGCCAAGGCTAGCCTCAAATTTGAGATCTTCGTGCCTCATGTTCCAGAATGCTAGAGTTACAGGTGTGTGACACCATGCCCATCTGAGTATGTTTTTAAGTGTTTATTTTGATATTAGGCTTTGGAACTCCCATCTGTATATTACTTCTTTATAAAATATTTCAAATATTATATAGAGAGACAATTGGGAAAGATAGAGGCCTTCCAGATTCACTCTGGCAGGTAAACCTGAGCCTGACCCAGGTGTCCTTGGGTCAGAGAAAGAATAGAGCAGAAACACTGGTGTGGCTAGCAGGCAAATCCTTCCAGAGATTGACAGTAAACGGCAGGAAGGAACTTGGAGGTGTTAAGACATTTTCATTGCCTTGACTATGATGGTAGTTCACCAGGTGGTAGTTCATCTCAAATTCATCGGATTGTTCACTTTAAATATGTTGAGTTTACTTTTTTTTCCTGTACCAGGGATCGAACTCAGGACCTTACACTTGTGAGGCAGGCTCAGCGCCACTGAGCTAAATCCCCAGCCCTTGTTGAGTTTACTTTAAACACATATGGTTTGTTGTACTTATAAAGCTATTAAAAGCAAAAAGTAAAATAAAGAGGTTAAAGTCAGGCTCTTGTCCCACCCTGCGCAGGCAGATTAGGCCATTTTCCTTCCACAGAAGAATGTGAAGGTGAGAAGCTCATACTCCCTACCCCATAGGCAGTTCCTTCCTTTGTGGAGGATAAGTATGTGTGTTTTGTTTCTTCCAGCCTAATAATGACTCCCACCCCTCAAAATGCTGTATGAATTATTTGCCATACACTGTTGAGTGAAGGTCATCAGATACCGTATTACTTGTGCGTTATCTAGAATCAGTACTGATTGAAGAAATATTTGAGCATGGAATACTAAAATGGTTGAGAATTTGAAGGTAAAATAAAATGAATGTTCCTTTCTTTACTTAAGCATTATTTTGCCTTTCCAACCTTTATGGCTGAAACAAGCCCCTTGTGCTAGAAGTGACACTTCCTGACATGAGGTTATTCTTGCATGCTAGATGGTGTGTTGAGAACCACTCCTGTGAATGAAGAGCAGCACCGCAGCAAGAAGCTGCGCCTGGAAAAGCATGCAGAGGGCCTGTCCATGCTGCAGTGACAGCCCTGGAAACTGTTACTGCACTTCTTCAATACAGCCTCGTGACCTCAGAAAATAAGGAAAGATTTTGTGAATCACTGAAAGGTGTTTTAGGATATGTTATTGAGAATATTTTAATTTTAGATTTATTTATGTTTTTTTCCAGAATATGGCAGTGTACCCCTTTATTATACCAAATGAGGTAGCAATAATTGAAGGAAACCAATCTACTTACCAACAGACATATTTCTATTATTTTGAGTTTATACAAGAAGTTTAAAAGGCACTGGTTCACTGGAAGTCACACCTGAAGATGGAATTATACATCTTTTGAAAAATGTTGATTCCTTTGGGTTACAAGAGTGACAATAAGCTGCTCCAGGAAACAAATGACAATCTGATCATCTTTTAAGAGTCCATATATAGCTAAGCAAAAGGTCACATTTTTATCCAAATTTTTCTAGTAGTCAGAATTCACTTAATTAGGACTGACTCATAAAATTGGTAGACCTGGTCTCCATTTTAAGAGTATATTTTTTCAAATGTTAATTTCTTGGGCTGGGAATGTAAATCAGTAGAATGTTTGCCTGGTATGTGCAAGGTCCTGGATTTGAGTCCCAGCATCACAAAAATGTTAATGTATCTTAAATATTTCAGTATAAAGATTCACAATGGTTTGTTGGACTGGGCCCAGATATGTCACTGACTTTTGGTAATGATAGGAAGAGAGTATTATTGTGAGGCAGTTTTGCTGTTTGATATCACTGATACATAAGATCACTAACAGTGACCTTCAAAGTTGGTCATGATGTCAACAGAAGAAATATTTGAGTGTGGAATATTGAAACCAACATTTTTAGAATTTCATTAATCTTCCTCTCATATAATTTTCCCTTCCCTATTATTAACATGGCTTTGACCTTAAAAAAGAAGACATTTTGGGCTGGGGTTTTAGCTCAATGGTGCCACCACCTGCCTTATAAGCACAAGGTCCCGAGTTAGGTTCCCAGTACCAAAAAATACTGAAAGTGTTCCAAATAAACAGATCCATTCCAAATTGCTCTTTGCAATTTCTCTCATTTTGATTTGCTGATAAACTTTCAGAAAATTAGTCCAAAGATGAACATGTGTTCTGTGCTTTCCCAGGGTTATGGAGGAAGGCCCACAGACCTGGGGAATGGTGTGTCATGAGAAATAGGCCCCCTAGCTGTGTGGAGGTAGTTGTTTGCTATTTCTTTTTTTTTTTTTTTTTTTTTTTTTTTTTTTTTTTTTTTTTTTTTTTTTTTTTTTTTTTTTTTTTTTTTTTTTTTTTTTTTTTTTTTTTTTTTTTTTTTTTTTTTTTTTTTTTTTTTTTTTTTTTTTTTTTTTTTTTTTTTTTTTTTTTTTTTTTTTTGGTCCCCTTTTCACAACATCCATAGCCTCAAGAGGCCTGCTACCAGTTTTTCAGAGTTACATAGAGGACAATCCAAATGTCAACCAGATGTCCTGGCTTGCACAGCAGCCTACACTGCCTGTCCACTGGGATTTCAAAGTTATCATATACCACACAGTTGAGAACTGCCATAAACATTTACACAGATGTAGGGCATGGAATAGGTGGTGTGGTATGTGCAGGAAAAGTACCTTTGAGATAATTAGTGTTAATTTGGAAACCACCCATTAAAATATACTTTTTTAATTAACAAAAACCTTCTAAGATTGCTTATTTCCCAAATTGCTTTATTTATGCATGCTTAAGTTCTTGAATTAGTATTTTTTACTAATATTTCATCTATACCAAATATATTATAAATCAGCAAATATTTTGTAAGGTTCCAAAGCCTAATATATACTACCAGATTTGTGGATTTATACATTGGGTATTGAGATAGAAGAAGGGAAAAGCATACATTTGGGAAAACTACGATTAGGAAATGGAAGGTTGATATTTCCATAGCATTATTAAAATGGTCATATTAGTGCCATTTTTATTCTGTACAACTTGTTCAATAAATTTACTGTGTAACACCAGAAGATAAATTCTGTGAAGGCATGGAGATTTTATATATACAGTGCAATCTATACAAAATACTCATTTACTGTCTACAGTGGTGCTCTGGTTCACAAACTCAATCCTCTCCACAATCCTGGTCCTAAACTGAACCAGATGAGAACCAAATCAAATCTCCCCATAGGGTCAACATTGAACCCAACCGTTGAATTTTATTCGGTTCTTGTGCTACTAGGTTTACAACCTGAATCAAATTCATGAGCTGAGGTACCACCTAATTCCAGGGCCTGGAACATAATAAGCACTCAGTATATATTTGTTGATTCATTGATTGATTGCTAGAAACCAGCTAGACCCTGGGGTTGAGCTATGTAAGAAATGTCCTCTGACTTCAAGATATTTGGTCCAGTGGGGGATACAAGCATAATAATAAAGAGAAATGATCCTGAGCACAGTCCCTGGCTCTGCAGCATCAGCATCAGAATGGCAATTGTTAGTCTTTCACCTTCTTGGGACCTACCCCAAATTTACTGAATTAGAACCTCTGGGTCCATCCAGCAAGCTGGGTTTTCACAGGCCTTTGAGGGATTCTGGTAATCTTCAAGTCTTATGGTATTGTAGAAACAGTGGTGGTGCAAGAGGACTATGAGCACTCTGGGAATTCATGGAAAGGTCCTTGTAGAAGCCAGAATGCTAAGGTGGGTCCTGAAGAGATGTCAGGGTTTGCCAAGCGAACAGCAGGAATGCCGTGAACTGAGAAAGCTTTGGAAACGGATGGCCACCCTGCAGGTGGGACAATGGCTGGGCAGCACACAATAGCTGTAGAGCCCAGAGCCCAGAGCTCAGCTGGGCTTGAAGAAGCTATGTGTAGCAGTGTGGACTGAGATCTGCAAATTCCTAGTCAAAAGGCTTCATCCCTTAGCTGGAGAAATTAACATGTTCATTTAAACAAAAAACACAGTGCCTTCCTTAATTTCCAAGGTAGGGTAGCCTGGTTTATTCCATGTGTGTCATGCTGAGTGAGCATGGATTTGTATGTTTTTGTTGTATTACTGCTGATACATTTTTTTTTGTTAATCTGACTGTGTTTTTCTTCCTCAACATACTGAGTTTGAGAATATACCATTCACTCAGAAAGATTCTGCTTTTTATACATAAAGAGTTCTGCCTTAGGATCAGCCATAGCCATCTGCTTTTGACACATTTTAGAGCAAGTAGAATTGAACACCAGGGGTTTTTTTCCCTCATTGAGTTTATTGGTACATTTTAGGTATACAGTACAGTTACATTCATCATTCAGATCTTGTACCTTTACATGACAGGTCTTGGTTCTCATTTTTTCCCCTGACCCCTGTGAACACCAGTTTTTAAGAGCCCTTCAATTGCTAACAGTGGCCACCTGGCATTGAACTATGATAGTTATTGCTGTGTTTTAGAACTAAATAAGCATTAGTTAGGATTTTCATTTCACGTGTAGCATTCCTGAAGTCTTGTGGTCTTTTTGATGTCATTTGAAAATACAAAAATTGTCAGGGATAATGGGTAACATCTATAATCCTAGCACACGGGAGGCTGAGGCAGGAGAATCATAGTGAGTTTGAGGCCAGCCTGAGCTACATAGTGAATTCAAGGCCAGCCTGAACTACACAGTGAGACTCTGTCTCCAAAAAACAAATAAGTGGGCTGGGGGTTTAGCTTAGTGGTACTGCGTCTGCCTGGCAAGCACAAGGTCCTGAGTTCAACCCCTGGTACCAAAAAACAAAACCAAATAAGTAGGTAAATAAAATTACAAAGATTGCAGACATAAAAAGGTACAAATAGTTGTAAGAAATACTTATGAACCTAATATGCAGAATTAATGTATGTTACCATTTGGACTAAATGACAATATGATTATGTAATTTAGTCCCCAATTTTGAGATCTGAGATGGAGCCTTATTCTATACCTTTCTGCATTTTCTCCCAAGGACATCTGGATTTCTGAAAGGACATCCATGCTCACTGCAGGGCCACAGATCACAGCCCAGCCCTAGACCCAGGAAGACCATTCCTGAGAGAGCCGCCGTTATGCCTCCTCCTAGGAGACTCTTTTGAGCCAGTTTGTTCTACTTCATTACATTTTGTCTCTCAAATTTCTCTCTCATGATAATATTCTGTGATAACTTTCATAGGAGGCAAAGATAACCAGTTGGTCTAACATGGGGCAGCCTAGTTCTGGTTGGTAGGGGAAGTTTATTGGGTCGGAGGTTTTGAGGCATTTCTGACTCTGTGCCTGAACACTCCCTCAGTCAGGTGCACTGGGCATGCTGCAGAGGCTGGGATAGGAAATGTCTTCACTTGAGCTGGGGCAGTCTGCTTTGCCACCTAAGAAGATTCTGAGTGGAACAATTAAAACTGCCCCAGTTGAAAGCCATTATGAGTAAAAAATACTCTAAAAAAAATAGACTTAGGACCATCTTACTGAGTATAACTGTGGCACCAATAACTTTTTAATGATCAGGTATCAAAATGTGAGGATGACAGGTTTCACTGTATCATCTTTTAAAAGTCTTTTAAAAATCAGGTTTATCCTGGCATGATGGCACATGCCAGCTGTTCCAGAGGCTGAGGCAGGTGAATTGGAAGTTTAAGGATAGCCTGGGCAACTTAGTAAGACCCTGACTCAAAATTTTAAAAATAAAATAGAAAGGGCTACAGATGTAGCTCAGTGATAGAGCACTTACCTAATATGTGTGACAACCTAGATTTGATCTCAGCACTGCAACAATATTTTTTAAAACTGAAAATGATTTTTTAAAATATTAATGCTAGGTCCGGGGATTTAACTTAGTGGTGCCACCCCCTGCCTTGCAAGTTCAAGGTCCCAAGTTCGATCCCCAGTACCAAAAAAGAAAAGAAAAGAAAAAAAATTGATGCAGCTTGATTTAGACTCTTGTAACATTTTGAACTAGTATTTTTAGTGTGTAACATTGTCAGAGAAAAACAGTGAGAAGACATTGGAAATTAAGAAGAACTAAGAAGACCATCAGTTACTGAAGAAATCCTTTCACCTTTCTGAACTCAATCTGTCTCCAGATCTGTAAAAACTGTGTGCCAAACAGATGAGTTCTAAAGTCCTTTGAAATCTGAGGCTACTTAAAAGTAATTCATTGAACATAGTATGTTTTTATAGACTAGTTCCTAAATTAAATTATGCATTTGACATTACATTTTTGTTATTGTTATTGTTTGCAGTACTTGGAGCATCTCCTCATCAGATATCCTCTAAACCCAATAGGTGAGGCAGACTCAGCTTTAATACCCCAGGGATGAAGAAATTCCACCTCATAAAGCCACACTGGAAGTGTCCTCATTAAAATGTTATCTTTATAGAATGACTGCCACCCCATCTCGTCCCCCACATTTCCATCATTGATCCCTGGAATCTAACACAGACCTCTTTGTGTCTCATCCTGTACTACATGAATGGCCTTCAGTATGTGACCAATTCCCACCCCTCTAAAATTTACTGTGACATTGACCAAAGGTTTCTGTGTTATGGGCAAACACTTGTCACATCACTTTTACATTTAACTTTCACAGCATGAAATGGGGATTATCACCTCTTTTACAGACAAGAAGATGGAGTGTCAGGTTACATGTCTTACCCAAAACTTCACCTGTAGTCATTGCAGCGCCAGGAAATGAACATTCTTCTCCAAATTCACTGTTTACACAATTCATTAACTTTGTCCCAGTGTCTCTGCATTTTTTTCTTTCCATCTACAACTCTGCTTGTCTACTGTGAGACAAGAATGTTAATGGCCCTAATTTTTCACTTTTCTGTAGTTACATCCTTCACCAAATGGCTTTGCAAGGTCCTCCAAGAGTAAGAGTGCACTTCTCCACCTTGACTTTGAATTCCACAGAATAAGGCAGAAATGTCTTGATCCAGTTCTGACATCAAGCCTCAAGGATGATTCAGTTGTGTTTCTGCCACCACCAAACACCAGCACAGAGCCACCCCCAGCCAGGCCAGCCTAGATTAGGGGTCCAGTGATCAATCCACAGACTCGTGAGGAAAAAAATCATTGGTTTCAAGTTTCAGAGGATGTGTTACTCAGCATTTGGTTAATGATTGTGTTTTATTGATTGTGTCAATTTGAGTAAGAAGTTCAACTAAAGTGGCTCAACAGTCCCACACCCTAGGGTATGGAAGACCCACCCTAAGGTGGCTTGTTGCCTGGATGGTGTACGGGGAAATGAAGTGGGATGGATCTGCTTCTTTTTCCTCAGGGGAGCTCCAGTCTTTGCCTTCACCTTGGACGTCATCTCCCAGCTTCGGGTGCGCTCTCCAGCCTTCCTTCACAGACCCATTGGCCTCCTGACACAGACTTGCACAGGACACTGCAGCGAACTCCAGACCTTCAACTGCACCCTTTGGTCTCCAGCGTGCAGACAGACCTCTGCACTCTTCCTCATCCGACTCTGGGTGGCCACTGTAAACTAATCTTGTAAATTCTTGTATATTTGTATATCTTGTGTTATATCTGTTTCTCTAGTGAATACTGACGGATAGTGGTGCATCTCTCCAACTTTCAAAATAGAAACCCTTAATCCGCTGTGCTCCTTTCCCTTTGTTAGTTGAAAGCCTCTGTTAGCATTTTTAGTGACCTCATGTTTCACTTCATTTTCAGTTTGTCAGCATGGGAGGTGGAGGGGTAGGTGGGGGGGCGACCATTTTAAGGAAGGAAGGACCGGCATTGGAGGAGGAGAAGCAATAACTGGACCACAGACAGGAAGGCCCCACAGAAGTTCAGGATAGAGGTGACGTGGCCCATTCTTGTCACCAGGACCCTGTCAGAGCACCAGGCTACTACTTGCAGACTTGGTTTTGTTTAGTTTTTGTTTTGGTGCTGGGTAGTGAAACCATGGCTTCCCCGCTAGGCAAGCACTCTACCCCTAAGCCACACCCCTAACCAGGATGTTTAGTTGTACCTTGTCCTTCAGCCGCAGGCACGGGACTCCACTTTAGGCCACCACTGCACCCCGTGGCTCTCCTCCTCTATCTTGTTATGAAGCGTGACCAACCACTTGTGGGGTCTCCAGACCGACCACGGACCACAGAGTAGGAGCAAAATCAGCTTTATTGCCAGCGGCTTCAGGGCATTCAAATTGCCTTGAAAGCATCAAATATAAGTTTACTCTCATTTTTACACCTTTATTGTTTCTATGGGAGGGGTAACAGCCATCAATCTAAACATAATTACATAAGCAGAGGGGCAAAGAAGGGGGAGCAGGAGGTTTGGCAGGGCTTTCTGAGATTGCCTTGCTCTGATGAGTTTGCATTATAGTTACAGTGACTACAGTTACAATATATCTTTCTCAGGAAGAATAGTTACACAGTTAACCCATAGTTGCCCAGTTTTACACTGGGACAGTTTTCACCCCCAGTTATAGCCACAAGTTAGTTATCCCTTTCAGACTCATGTCACCTAATAATATGATCAGTGAGTTCGTTCTGTTCCAATTGAATCACAGATCACATTGGCTTTCTCCCTCCTCCCCCTTTTGGTTTTTTGAGACAGAATCTCACTTTGTGGTTCAGTCTGGCCCTGGACTCATTATGTAGCGCAGGCTGGCTTCGAATTTGAGGTGCTCCTCCTACCTTCCTTGGCCTCCCAAGTGCTGGGATTACAGGCCTGTGTCACTGTGCTTGGCAATGTTAACTTTTAAGAGGGCCCTTCAGAAGACTATAGTAAAGACAGTTCTTATTTGAGCCACCAGAGGGTGATATGTCCCAGAAATGGATGCTTACGGAGGAAACTAGAATGAGCATTGTTGGAGTCTGTGGGATTTGGAAATTCAGAGGAGGACAGAGAGCACAGGAAAGGAGAGTAGACCACATTGAGGAGCAACAGATAGCTGTGGATCCATAGGTAGGAGAGAGAGAAAGAGGTGGGCAGGGAGAATGAAATCACGAGGGGCTAGTGGCCACTTCTAATGACACAATCGTGAGTGTGGACAGCCCATCGTATGGAGTGGAGGAAACGAGGGAATAGGGTGACTGGTGGTTGGTTCAAAATGAGAAATGACGAGGGTCGATGCAAAGGTGTCATTTAAAAGGAATAAAGGAGGGGATAGAAGCACGTGTGTGAACCTTGCAGAAAGAGGGTAGAGTCTCCGAGGATGGTAAGGAGGAACCCAGGGTAGAGAGCAGGGCTGCAGAAGGGAGAGGGGAAGCAGGGTGCAAGTGTGATAAGGAAAGATGCAGGGACGGAATTCACACACAATGTCATTTATTCAAAAATATCCACAGCATTTACTGCACCCCCGGCAGTGGATAGATCCTGGGATATGTACACGAAGAAAACTCTGGCCCCAACACATACTGAGATTTGCACACTAGAGAAGAGGCACACAGGAAAGTGGGGGTCAGAGAATGCTTTCTTTTTATGATGGGTGGCAGGGGCTCTATGACTGCAGATGCTGGGAGGTAGCCAGGCACAGTGAGGGATGTGGCTGCCCTTGGGGACTAGAGAATCAGCCTTGGGCCAGGGGCATCAGGACTGCTTACCGAAAGTCATTCCTTGCAGCTTGGTTCTCCTGGCTCACTTGGATAGGTCAGCAGGCCTCAGCAGTTTATTTGCTGGAGGCAGGAGAAAGGCAACCATTAAGATCACTTTCATGAGCCAGATGTGGTGCCGCATGCCTGTAACACCAGCACTCTGGGAGGCTGAGGCAGGAGGATCGCAAGCAGTCCTGCAGAGCAGTCCTGCCAACACAACTGTCCACAGCAGTCCAAATCACCCTTTTGCTTCACTACGCTCTACGGCAGTGGTGGTGAACTTATGGCATGTGTGTCTCAGCAGGCTGTTTGTATCATTGAAAGCTCTGAAAGCTTGGCCATCGCTTCCCTAGCGGAACCTCCAGTTATCTTCCTGGTCTCAGCTCCTCTTTCCTCCCAAGTTTTCAAGTGGTTCTTTCTGGGCAGCGTCTGTTTTTCCAGCATAACACTTCACACTCCACTTCCAAATGCCTCTTGGACTCCTCCACTTTTATATTCTTGACCATAATGCCAAACTCTTGGTGATTTAAACCAAAGGGGTTCACCCCAATTTCTCTATCTCCATGTCACACACACTCTGATGTGATATTTATTACCAGGAATTGAACCCAGGGCCTTCACATTGAGCTACATCCCCAGTTCTTTGGTTCTTTATTTCTTTTTTATTTTAAGATGTTCTCACTAAGTTGCTCAGGCTGAGCTGAACTTGTGATCCTCCTGCCTCCTGACTTTACTGAAGCCTTGGAACATCCAAGAGAAGAGAAGATTTGGCAGTAAGGACAGAGGAGGTCTGTTCTTGTTATCGTTATCTTCATGTATCTGAAGAAAGAAGCAAGGGGTCTGTTATGCAGAGCCCTGATCACTAAATCAATGGCAGGCAGTGTTTCACCACCTGTAATCCAGCTACTCGGGGGTAAAGCAGGGGGATCATAAGTTTAAGGTCAGTTTGAGACCTTAAAAAATTTAAAATTTATCAAAGGAGGCTAGGATGTAGCTCAGTGGTACAGAAGCCCTGGTTTTGGTCCTCGGTACTAGAAAAAAAGACCTCTTGAGACTTCTATCAGCATACCTTCCCTTGGGTCCACCTCCAAGACCAGGGGTACTATACTCTGAAGTGCCCCAGTACTTCATACCCCAACCTCTCTACCCATGACAGTGGGCATGTGACCAAGCTTAAAATAGACATCATCCAAGGATGAACATGAGATGCAAGCAAGGTACCTCACAGTCCTGTCAGGAGAGGTGATAAAATGGACAATGGGAGAGAGGAGGGGTGTCTCCTTTCCTTTCTTTTCTTTTTTTCTTTTTTCTTTTCTTTTCTTTTCTTTTTCTTTTTTTTTTTTTTTTTTTTTTTTTTTTTTATGTTTTGTTTTTTTTTTTTTTGAGACAAGGCCTTGCTATGTAGCCCAAACTGGTCTTAAACTTGTGGCAATCCTCTTGCCTCAGCCTCCCAAGTGCTGGGATTACAGACATTTGCCACCACACCCAGCTCTTCTTTTTGAGTCATGTGCTAAGTGTGTTGGCTTGGGGAGGACATGAGTGACCTCCTTCTGTCTGTGTGTACATACCTGAAACTGGAGTTCCCAGTTATATAGAGATAGGTAGGTAGGTAGATAGATATTTTTTGCTTGAGCTAATTTGAGCTGTGTATTTCTATCCTTTGCAGCTGAAAACGTCCTGACTTAGTGAAAAGTCCCTTCCACAGGTTCGTTTGGTTATCCTGAGCAGAGTTAAGGGACCATCAAATGACAGATTTTAAAAGATACAATGACCAGGATAGATAGCAGAACAGAAAAGAGGGTGAGAAAAGGCAGCTGAAAGTGGAGAGCAAGTTTTCTAAAGCAGAGATGAAGGAAAAGTGTTCAAGGCAAACACAGATGGGTGAGGAGGCAAAGAAAAACCATGTGTATGTAGAGAGGGAAGAGGAAGGCAGTTATTTCTGTGGGCTCAATATCCACAGTGATGTGTGGAAACCAGACTTATTATCCAAAGGAATTGGGCTGAGGGTTTGGAGTGTGGCCAGGGAAAATACGCAAAGAAATCAGTGACGGAAGTGCTACTAACAATGCCTCCAAGAGCTGTCTCATCCAAACTGTTCGTGCTACAACACTGGTCTGTCTCTGTGGCTTCTTGTCAAGTTATTCTTCTGGAACACAGATCTTTCTGTCTGTGTGGGCAGATTCCTCTGAGCTAGATTTGAGCACCGTAAACAGGAGGCATCTGGCACAGTGCTGAAAGATTAGGAGGATCAGGCTTTGAGCAGTTGTCTACAGCCTTTGGGCCTCACAGGCAGCCTGTCTTGTGGATGCTTCCCTGGCAAACTTGGCTCTTGGGGCCGGTGGGGGCTCTAAAAGACAGCCCTCGCCTGGGGAGGAGCTGGGGTTGCCAGGTTCTGAGCTTTTCCTGCAGTGAAGAGGTAGGAGAGTCCTCTTCGCCCTGGCCTCCTCATCTGGGTGCCAGTTTCCTGCTGCTTATCAGATGACCACAGCAAACTCAAAACTGGATAAAGCCACTCTGCTCGGAATGGTTTTTGGTCAAGGTGAAGGGCATGGCTGGTGCTGTCAGATGTCGCTGGGCTGAGTGCTCTCCTTCCTTCCACACCCTGGGCAGCACAGCATCTCATTCATCCAGACAGGGCAGCTCATGGCCACGTGAATGTCACCCTGAGCTCCCAGAGGAAGGGCAGAGGTTTTCTTCCCCCAAAAAAGACAACAGTTTGCAGTTCAGGCTTTGCCACTTTCCTAACATCCTGGAAACATCATTTGTCCCCAGTGCCGGGGTCTTGGACAGGAGGAGAGCGGGGCTGGGACACAGTG